AGTGTGTGCAATGCATGGCCAGGCTGTCTAATAAAGGAGCCCAGGACTACCTCTACATTTGTTGACTTCTTTTACAGACTTATACTCTATTACTAGTACAGAGAAAGGGGTTGAATCTTTCAGCTGTGTGTGTAATCTGAGATCTCGACATTTTGATTTGCATTCATAGATCTGAAGTAAGACAGTTATCTGATTCCTGGTGTACCAGAATAATAGTCACAATCAGCAAAATGGGTTATATCAAATATTAATTTGCAATAATTCATATTTATGTGACTAAAAAAAAAAGAATAAAAATACAATACATTCACTTAGAAATCACAATGCTGCCAGAAATCTGCTGTTCTGGGAAAACCATTTGCTTATCATTGTGCAAATGCTGACAAGGTGCTCTCAACTGCGCCCACTGTAAGCTCATTACTATATCTCACTCAGAAGACATAAATTTTGGGAGTTTTGCTGCAATACTTATAACTCAGATGAAGATAAAGGAAGTGCAAGGGGAAACCTTAATGTGCTGGCCCTTGGCTTTTTTCCCCAGCACTGAACCCAAGAAAGATGTGACAAACACTGCATTTGCATCTTATACATTTGAAGGAACGTTATCCTGCAAAGAATTTTGGTAAACTTCAGTTTTGTACACTGCAAAAACAAACTTGCCTAAAAGTTAAAGCTGGGATTTCCAATTAAAATGGAAATGACTAATTTGCTTGTGACCCTTAGACTTCCAGAATTTCATCACCACCTACTGGCAAAACTGAATAGTTTAACATGACCATACATATACAGTGGCCCATGTAAGAGTAACCAGTATAACTGAATTGTTTTACATTACTCTAGGGATAGAAGCCATTTTCTATCTATGATGGGTGTTCGCTTACTAAACTTAACCGCTTGCCATCCAGCGTACATGGACACAGGCACAATTTTAGTTTTTTTCAGGTATTTACCAAAATATATTCAAGTTAAAGTTATATAATGGATATGGGCTGAAAGTGCACAATCAAATTGGAGGAAGGCTTTAGGAATTACAGATCTTAAGATTAGCCATCCCCCCTTTTTCAAGGGACCAAAAGTAATTGGACAATTGAATCAAAAGCTGTTTCATGGCCAGGTGTGGGCTACTCTATTATTTCTTCATCAGTTAGGCAGTTAAAAGGTCTGGAGTTGATTCTAAGTGTGGTATTTGCATTTGGAATCTATTGCTGTGAACCTACATCATGTGTTCAAAGGAGCTGTCCATGCAAGTGAAACAGGCCATTGTAAGACTTCAAAAATGAAACAAATCCATCAGAGAGATAGCAGCAACACTAGGAGTGGCCAAATCAACAGTTTGGTACATTCTGAGGAAAGAAGAATGCATTGGTGAGCTCAGCAACATAAAAAGGCATGGACGTCAACGGAAGACAACAGTGGTGAATGATCGCAGGATCCTCTCTATGGTAAAGAAAAAACCCATTCACAACATCCAGACAAGTGAAGGACACTCTCCAGGAGGTGGGTGTATCATTATCAAAGTCTACAATCAAGAGAAGACTTCACAAGAACAAATACAGAAGGTTCACCACAAGGTGCAAACCATTCCTAAGCCTGAAGAATAGAAAAGCCAGATAAGACTTTGCCAAAACACATAAAAAAAAGCCAGACCTGTTCTGGAAAAGCATTCTTTGAAACTGAGATTAATCTGTACCATAATGACCGGAAGAAAAAAGTGTGGAGAAGGCTTGGAACAGCTCATGATCCAAAGCACACAACGTCATCTGTAAAACATGGTGGAGGCAGTGTGATGGCATGGGCATGAATGGTTTCCAGTGGCACTGGGTCATTGGTGTTTATTGATGATGTGACAGAAGACAGAAGCAGCCAGATGAATCCTGCAGTGTTTAGAGATATACTGTCAGCCCAGATTCAGCCAATATCAGCAAAGTTGATTGGAAGGCGCTTCACAGTACAGATGGACAGTGATCCAAAACACACTGCAAAAGCAACCCAGGAGCTTTTGAAGGAAAAGTGGAATATTCTGCAATGGCCAAGTCAGTCACCTGATCTTAACCCAATCGAGTATACATTTCACTTGCTGAAGGCAAAACTAAAGGCAGAAAGACCTACAAACAAAGAACAACTGAAGACAGCTGCAGTTAGAGCCTGGCAACGCATCAGAAAGGAGGAAACCCAGTCTTTGGTAATGTCCATGGGTTCCAGACTTCAGGCAGTCATTGTCAGTAAAAGATTCTCAACAAAATATTAAAAATGAACATTTTATTTATGATTATATTCAATTGTCCAATTACTTTTGGTCCCTTGAAAAAGGGGGGATGGCTACTTTTAAGAGCTGTAATTCCTAAATCCTTCCTCCAATTTGGTTGTACATACCCTCAAAGTAAACCCGAGAGTGTGCACTTTCAGCCCATACCCATTATATAACTATAGCTTGAATATGTTTTGGTCAATACCTGAAAAAAATCTAAAATTGTGCCTGTATCCAAATATATATGGACCTAACTGTATATACATCCTGGACAGGAAGTGTTTATACCAGGATCATAACTGCAGGTGAAGCCATGAGCCTGGTATACATACTAAGCATATTCTTTTTCTGAAAATGTGTATTTGATAAACAGTTTAAAAAAATTTACCAACCACTATTTTACTCTTCAGGGCTTCTGCTTTTAGAAAATATATAATGTTTTGGAGTTCTAAGTAATTTTCTAGCAAAAAATGCTGATTTTAACATGTAAGCGAAAATTGTCACAATTGCCCTGGATGGCTAGTGGTTAAAGGACCTAAGTAAGCTGAGGGCTTACATTTGAACTGGAAGTTTCCCTTACAGAAATGTTCTTGAAACCATTGCTTCCATATAGTCCAACGTTTAGAAAGAATTAAGCTGAAAATATACACTCACCGGCCACTTTATTAGTTACACCTTGCTAGTGCCCAGAGAACATCCCCCACTCCATTACACCACCATCAGCCTGAACTGTTGATACAAGGCAGCATGGATTCATGCTTTCATGTTGTTTGTGCCAAATTCTGACCCTATCATCTGAATGTTGCAGCAACCAGTCTACCCATTCTCCTCTGATTTTATCAAGGCATTTTCAACCACACAACTGCCACTCACTGGATATTTTCTCTTTTTTTCGGACCATTCTGTTAAACCCTGAAAAATCCCAGTAGATCAGCAGTGCTTAACCTCTTCCCATCCGGCGCATGCCGATTAAATAGCCGAACGGGAGCGCTGCCGATGCAGGGGGACGTTTCTAAACGCATGCATTGCCTGTGCGCGCTCCCTGGGAGTGCACGGCACCGAGATCTGTGCCCGTTGTGTCCAGGGGACACAGCGAAACACAGATCACTGTATGGGACCTCTGTGTGAGGTCCCGATTCATGTGATCACTGATTGTCCAATCAGTGATCACATCAACAGTAGTAAACAAGATGTCACTTTCTGACATCGTTTACCACTTGTGAATTCTGTGAATGATCATAGAGGACACATGGCACAAAGCTATTCACAACAGCCTTGTACCATGAGACAAGCTGTGACCAATCACAGCTCTCACAGTATATCTCAATGGCTGCAGGAATGCAGCCAGAGAGAAAGAGAAATGATTGATTTTACAGCCTTTATGGGTGTAAAAGCAATCAGTGTATAAAAAAAAAAAAAAGAAAAACTTTATCACCCTCCCACAAGTAGTAGTACAGTGTAGAAAAATAAATAAATAATATTATAAAAAAAAATAAGATAAAAATGTAAAAACATTTTAAAATTATAATTATTTTATAAAGATAGCTGAATACATTTTGGGCAAGATTTATAAAGAAAGATTATTTATTTGCAAAATTGTATAAGAAAAACACTTTTTTTTCAAAATTTTTAGTCTTTTTTATTTATATAGCAAAAAAATTAAAATCCCAGTGGTGCATAAATACCACCAAGAGAAAGTTTTATCTGTCTCAAAAAATGCTAAAAAATTTCATATCGGTGCAGTGTTGCATTCAAAGTGTGATAGCGCTGAAAGCTGAAAATTGGCCTGGACTGGAAGGGGGTGAAAGTGTCCAGACCTGAAGTGGTTAAAATACTCAGACCTGCCCGTTTGGAACCAACAACCATGCTAAGTCCAAAAGTCACTTAAATCCCCTTTCTTTCATATTCTGATGCTCATTTTGAACGTTACTTCACCACATCTAGATGCCTAAATGCACCGAGTTGCTGCCATGTGATTGGCTGATTAGCAATTTGAGTGACCAGGTGTACCTAATGAAGTGACTGGTGAGTGTATGACAGCAGGTCACAGATAACTGCATTTACATCTGCAAAGAATGCAATCAGATATCTTTGTGTATAATCATGTGTACACATTTAAGGATGACAATATTCAGTTGACGCCAGAATTCTTTTCGTATAAAGTGCTAATATATAGAGATTACTAAAGTGCTACAAAAATTAAACTGTGTGCTGAATACACTGCCAGTACCATAACATTTTAAATAATGTGACAATTTATTACAGAACTGTACCATTTATTTTACACACAAATATGACAGTTCTCTTGGTTTACAAAGTCTAACAAAAAAATATGGAATGTTATAGTATTGTCTTGCATAAAGTTAAGTACAAGTTGTACTTTTCCAGGGATCAAACTGCCAATCTACTAAGTTTGACTGGATTTGCCATATTGTTTTCTTTAAACCGCTGTCACCCAAGTCCTCAACCCCCCTCCCCCCACCATTTTGAAACAAAAATGATAATTTACTGCACCTAATCAATTTATATTCAGAAGGCTCACACTGCTACTCACACAGGGACATTTATTGAGGAGTAAGCTTGTTTTTCATGAATGGCTGAGATCATTAGTATTGTCAAGAGGAAGCCATAATTTGGCTGATCAGTTTAGTTCACGAAATGAGTTCTTTTTGAAAAATAATTTCACTTAGGAGGAAACATTCATCTGGAGTAGATTCTGTGTCATTTCTTCCATATAAATCATTCCACGTGGTCAAGACTCTCCATTTTGCACTTTGGCTGCTGGTGGATGCATGAAGTCCTTAAATGGAACAAGAGCTTCTTTGAGAGCTGTACATACTTCAGAAGACGAACATGTAATGCATTCCACTAATGTTGGGTACAAAGAGATCACCTGCGCCCAAGTGTTACCATCAACTGCAACAAATTAAATAAACTTCATTAGAAAAACAAAATATTTATTATATACAATATACAAGTACTACAAATCTTCACTAAGAATTATTAGTTCATACACTGGATACAGCAGGTCCAACTACTGCGTGTGAAGTTCGCTTAAGAAATTTTCTAACATACCAGAAAGTCTTGAGATCTTTACAAACTCTTTTTCATTCATTAGTTTGAAAGGTAATTATTATTGAAGTTTGCAATATAGAAAACACAGTAAAGAAAAAAATACAATAAAATAAAAAAAATCTGAGCTGTACACCAAAATAATAGGTTCAATCAAGAAAAGCCATTTAGAAAGGGAATGAGGTATTCTCTTTTTAAGAAAGGTAAATATCTTAGTATAAAAGAGTAGGACTCAGATGTTTTTAGTGGGCATATGGAAAAGCAGATCCTCCAATATGCCAAATAGACTACTTGTCAGGCTATAAATGTTGGGTGCTGCCAGCTGACAATCCATGGAAATAGTACCTTCAGACTAAAATGTGTTAATGCAGTCATAGGATCACATAGTAAGCAAGAAAGCCACTACAACTCTATAGTCTTTAAAGCATAGGGCGGGAGGTTTAAGTTTAACCCCTTCACACCTAAGGGTAAAACAAATCTTAATGCCTAAGCACAAATTTGCAACGTTGACATGTGTTAGTAAAACCGTACATATCCCCACAACTACTTTGTACATCCAGGTGAATTATACCTTGTTTTTTCGGGACAAGTTGGGCTTTCATTTGGTGGTAAATGGTAAAGGATATCTCCTGATTTTTTTTTTATTATCAAAGGAAAACTGGCCCAAAATAGTAAGAAAAAAATTTTTTTTTTTTTTAAATTTAGCTGTCTGTTTCTTGTTACTACCATAACCTACCATCAAAGAACAACCCAAAATAAATTTTCCAGCTCTTGACGATCGCAGCGATACCATATATGTGTATGTTATTTGTTGTTGTTTGTACCTGTAGTACAGCTCAGAAACAATAGTGCACATTTTGTTTTGTTTTTTAACCTAAAACACACTGACACCAATTTTTTTTTTTTTTTACCTGACCTTTGACCCTGACCTTGATCTTTGACCCTGACCCAAACACCTACCCTGGCACTGAACTAGATCAATCCTTATTCTAGGTATTTTTTTAAATTAATCTTTTTTTTTTTTTTTTTTCTTAAACATTTTTTTCCCCTCTATGCCAGGAGTTAGAGAGATACAATGTATCTCTCTCCTCCATTCATAGAGAGAGAGAAAAAAAAACACAAGGAGGCTGGGCTGTACAGTGACTGATCACTGTGATAGCCAATCAGAGGCTATCACAGCGATCATGTGACCCGGAATCGGGAGTCCTGGGTCCCAATTGTTAGAACGGGACCCAGGGCTCTCAGTGACACCGCGGTTTTTGTGCTGGGAGCACACTGTGCGGCGCGCTCCCAGCAGAAAGACAGGTATGCAAATATGCAGCCCCATGGAAAAAAGCCCAGTTCTGTGTTACGCCGGAGTCAAGAGGTTACGCTTATGATGTTTAGCTGGAACATAGTAGACTTGGTAAAACAATCTGAGTTGCAGTACCACCGAGGTCATATTTGGTATGTCTATACGAATTTAGAACAGTCACAATGACTATCAGATGGGAACATGGTTTTCTGAATTTCCCTGGCTTTATGATAAGTTGAGAGTAGAGTAGCATATTAATTTAAGAGAAGTTTAGTATTGCCAAGCTGGGAAAACGTTTCTAAAGTAGTGTGAGCAAGTTTAACGTTAGTCATCCCCACCTGTGCTTTGGGCACATGCCGCAGTTGAAGGTAGCTAAAGCAGGAGGGCGTTGGAATGTTGTATTCCTCCTGGAATTGCTGAAAGTTCTTACAAATAAAATCAGCATACAGATGAGAGGCATATTTAACACTCACTGATCCCCAGTATGTAGCACTGGGGATAGAGGAATGAAGTTCAGAAAGGGTAGGATTCAACCAGATTAGGTTACTGGCTCTTTTTTATACTTAGAGAAAGCCATTAGACAACAGAAACATTTTAACTGAAAACCTACTGTGTAAGAAAAACAAGACAATTGTGCATTCAAAAAGCTTTTGATTTGTTAAAAGCAATACCATATACGACCAACAAATTGGCACGGTTGATTAACTTGACTGACAGGATCAACTACTCTCTGAGGATTCCTTCAAGAGTTAATATCGCCTTCCCTCTTTAGAACAAATTTGCTTACGCAACTCAGAACTCTGACATGTCTAAAATATCATTGTTTGAACTTATTTGCATTCATACTTCACAGCAGAAAGGGATAGCACCATTCCTATTTTCTAATCACAACCACTCAATAATACACTTCTGTTTAGGGTAAAATAGGAAAATGATGCATTTGTGGAAGTCTCTGCTGAATGCCCGTCAACAGAGGAAGCAATCAACCCTTGCAATTCTGCTCACAGGGTAATGCAGGCCATAGACAGTTCGTTTATCGGTCGATTTTTCATCCGAAAGAATAAATCGGCCGATTTTCGCACTGTTAGTGGGGCAATGGCATCGCCTGATTTTCGCGGTTCCTCCTCATTTCGTTTATCGGTCATGCTGCAAAAGTCGTGAAAAACGATCGATTTTCGCAATCATTGGTGGCAGCATCGGTTTACAGAACGAACGATGTTTCGTTTTTTGGATGAAAAATCGGCTGATAAACGAACCGTCTATGGCTTGCATAATACAGATCATTGCAATGGTGGTCTGCAATCAAAGTGCCTCTGCTTGAGGTCCCCTCATTTCTCTCTACAGGTGGTACACTAATAAAGTCATTAGAGAAAATAGACACCATCAGGTGTATTCATGGCAAGATTTATAAAATGTGACCAATGGAAGAATAAGTACTCCTAGTCTTTTGACAATCTTTACCTGAAAGTGGTGACATTGACATGATTTCCCTTCTGAAAGCCATAATAGTTGCCATGATAAAGGTCACACACTGTACCTTTAACTGTTTTCCTTTTTTATGATCATACTGTAGTATACTAGCTCCTATATTATGTAATGATAGTTGGCCATCTGCAAGTCATGCAGTTAAATATGGTATCACAACTAATTCAAAGAAATTGAAGACCTCTTGCAATCCAAGAATGTTTTCTCAATCATCTTCATTTCCCATGAGAAATATATTTTCAAAAAATGCCTTTAAATTTACCAAAACCATATAATATGAGATCAAACCTAAACACTTTCAATTTGAATGCAATAAGGCAGGCCCTTGCACTACATTGTTGAAGATAAAGCTAAAGGACAGTGAATAAGAAAATTGTATGGCCAGCTTAAGACTGCCCTGATACACATTATGAAAAGAAGAAATGCCCATAAAGTGGGCCAGAAAAGTAGTTACTTGTGGTGACAGATATCACATAAGCTGGGAATGCTCAGAAATAAATCCTTGATACCAAGTACCTTAACTGCTTGCCGTTAAGCCACTGTGTAAAAACGGCCACAGGGCGGCACCACTGTGCAAAATCACGGTTTAAAATGGCATTTTGCAAAACAGGTTGGTGGGCGTTCGCCTGCCCTACCCGTCCCGCCGATCGTGGCCGCCAATCACCGGGTCCCGGCTGGTCATTACCCGCCGGATCCCGGCGATTGCCGGCAAACAGTGACACAGAGCACAGCTGCATTGTTTACAATGCAGCCTGATCCCTGTCAGCTCCTAACATGCTGTTCCTGAGAGCGGAGTTTAGCTTTCAGGATCAGTGTGTTCCTGTGAAGTACACACCCCCCCCGCCCCCACTAGTAAAACACTCCCCTCACACAGTTAACCCTTTGATTGCTTAAAAAAAAAGTTAACCCCTTCCTCCTCAGTGCCATTAGCACAGTGTCCGTGTTTTTTTTTTTTTTTGCACTGATCACTGTATTGGTGTCACAGGGGATGTCAGGGACCCCCCCTTCTCCCCCAGTAAGTGCATGTTCAGTAGGTCACTGTCACTACTTGATACACTGCACACAAAACCGCAGTGTTCGCAGAATCAGGCCTGATCTCTGTTAGCACTTGTCGGTAAATTTTGATGATTTTCAGATGCAGCAGAGTGCCAGTACTAGTGCTGCGCTACCTTTTGGTGAACTGGCGAGTACCAGCAGTCTAGTACATCTTGGTCTTTCACATACCTCTTAGATTGTAATCTCCCAAGATCAGGGCCCTCCTAACCCTCTTGTATTGAACTGTATTGTTGCTGTATTGTCTCCTGTTATACTGTAAAGCGCTGAGCAAACTGTTGGCGCTATATAAATCCTGTATAATAATAATACCAGCACTGCAGTATGACTTGGTGACGTGGAGAGTCCCATAAGTCCAGTACAAGCCGGTGCGGTGGCGAGCACAAGTATTGTCCCGCAGCCACCAAAAATTAGCACACAGGCCCATAGAGCTGCTAGTATCCTTCCGGGTATGCTGCAAATCCTGATTGACAGCCCACAAATTCTGCAGCACCTGTACTTTCCCCATTCACTGCCCAACACGGAATTCAGGTGGAAATAGCAAATTTAACTACTCCCCTTGATTCTTTGGAGCTGTTTTTCATGGAATATTTGTATGTGTTGATTGTGGATCAAAGCAATTTATATGCACAACAATTTATTGCCACCAACCCAAATTCAAACCTTGCCAGACCAGTCGCATGGAAACTCATTACGCTTTCAGAATTTACATTATTTGGGGCCTAACCCTCAACATGGGCATTACTAAAAGAAATGAATTGCGGTTGTATTGGTCCGCAGACCTGATTCATCATATGCCGTGTTCTCTGCTGCCATGGCCAGGCATAGATATGAGAGTATAATGTGTTCTATGCATTTCAACGACAATACACTCTGTCATCCTTGGGGTGACCCTGAATTTGATTGGCTCCACAAAATTCAGCCCCTGACAAATCCCCTTAACCAAAAATTTGCAGATGTCTATACTCCCCAGCAAAACATCTGCGTTGATGAGTCCCTCATTAATTTTTCT